GTTGTACGGAAAAGAGCAGCTCAAACATTCTGACCAATATCTCCTTTTGAGTTTTGACAGGAGAGAGAAAGTTATATGGGTTTGAAACATCATGAATTGACTAAAAGTTGACAAAAAAAAATCTTTTTTGTGCAAACTATTCTTTTAATTTATTACTTGGCCTACTAACTAGAGATGTTCGGTGGTCTCACACACCGTTTGCATCTTTCTCTCTAGTGTCTTCAAATTCATCCAGTGTCTGACATGGTAAACGTACATGAATAAGCCCACTCTCCCTGTCCACACAGTCCAGCACCACCACCACCAATCATGACTGTTTATATAACAGGTGTTGCCCTCGCTTGTAAGACGAAGACGGGGATCTGCTTGACAGACATGTTAGTTAAAGACTTCAGAATCTGCCCTGGAAAGCCAAGTAGAGACAGCACTGCAGTGTGACCTCCCTCCTTCAGGCCAACGGCAGGCAGACCTGTGTAGATCCTTTCTGTGTGCACTCTGGGTGAACCCGGCCTGGTGCTAATCAGCCCGCCGTATCATATCTTCTCACCTCTGACCTCGCAACTTATAAAATAAGAGCCATTTATTTTTGTCTGATGTGGCGGCTGCCAAAGCAAATGAAAAGTAACACTTCTGGGCCTGACTGGTTAGGTGCGAGGGCGAAGAACCAAGCAAGATGCCGACTACACGGTTTGTTTATTAATACTTACATGTGAGAAATATCTGTGTATGTGTTCCATCATTATAGGTTCATAGAGAGAGGTAATATGTGAGTAATGTTGCTGATTTATTAAAGTTTTAAAAACTCGGGCCTGATCGCAGCAAACCGCCTGCTCGGAAGCTCTTAGAGGTGATGAATTTAAAGTGAGACGTGGCACTTGACTACAGAATGAGGCACACATTGGAGCTGACGCCCATATTCAAGTCAACAATAACATATTTTTAAATTTGTTATGAGTTTGTTATTTTAAAAGGTTTTTAAAACATTCGAACAATGTCACTGTTATAAATTACTAAAGCAGGCGTTTTTATGTCAAGCTTAACAAAGTTCATTTGAAAGGTAAAATACACAGTAAATAAATAGATCATAAATAAATATAAGAAACTTTACACTGGAAAATGTTTTGCATTTACACCAAAATGATTTTTGTTTGTATATTTTATAGGTTTACGCTGGTTCTTTCTTTAAATTACGATAATTTCTTTATTTGACAAATAAGAAACAAAGATTCAAAATAAAATTTAAAAAAACTTAATAAATACGCTTTGTAAATAAGTCTAAATATGAAATATTTTCCATATTCATATAGTGTGTATATTTGTCAAGCAAAAGGTGTAGGCTTACGATAAAAATAACAAAACCAAACTGTGGCCTCATTTAATTTGGTTTCACCCAATAGATAAAAATACATAAATATTATGTTATTCCCTAATGCATATATATTCCTATGTTTTGTTTGTCAACAATCCAATGTTTATATATATATATATATATATATATATATATATATATATGTGTGTGTGT